TATAAATACTGTATTAAAAGATAGCCTTTAATTAGTGACTAATAGTCATATGAATTAGTGACTCAATTAAAGCTTATAAATATGTAATCAAATGCAATAACTTTACGAAATAAACATTTAGATCATTACAGTAATTAACTGTTAATCGAAAAAGGCTTTCCATTTCATTAACAACCAATAGCAGCCTAAACACGGCTACACCCCTACGAGCACCCGATGCCCCGCAGAGGTCGGGACACTATCAGTAAAAGCGTAACAAATATTCCGCAAAAAAGGCTTTTATTTAATATTAAACATCGATATTAACATCAAATGAATTATTCAAAAGGTGGTCATCGTATCGCTAATCCACTCGACATCCGGGAACCGCTTACTCGGCGGCCTTCTTGGGGGCGGCCGTCCGCCGGCTCTTCTTAATTGGTTTGGGTTTCTGACTGCGGAGTATAGCCGACGCCCGACGCAGACATACCTACAGACACCACACAAACAAACACAACAAACCATTAATACAATCACTTCTTAGACACCAATTCAGACATGAGATCCGATGATACGTACGTTCTTCAGGTCAGTCCTGTAGAGGTTTCGGTTGCAAAACGTCTTAATATTCTTCAGCGTCCGACGCGAGTCCTTATTCAAGACGATACGGGCCACTGCTTTGGCCGGCTTTCGTTGGTGTCGGCGCTTCTTATACACCAGAGTCACGCCTTTCCCACCAGCATTGGGCTCAATGGTGAGCGCCTTCTGCTGGTACTGTCCCTCAAATCGGGGCACAAACAGGCCTTTCGGGTTGAATGGCGAGCGACTGAACCGACGGTTAATACCACGGGCTTTGATCAGAGACGAGGACCAGTTGCGGGTCAGCACCCATTGCAGGTCACGAGACACGCCCACGCCTTTCACCATTGTTTCGCTGCGGAGGGAACGGAAGGAATGGTACGTCAATTGGTCAGAGAAATGGTCAGCGCAGTGATAATCGCCGCGAAACTCACGAGTAGTTTGTTTTTTGGATGAAATCAATGAAAACACACGAAACGGAAAAGGATGCGAAAAACGTGTGTCGGAGCCGTCCATAGACTACGTGTGACACACACTCTCTGTCCACAAATCACGTGCCGTTTTCTGTGGGCAAACAAAACGTGTTTTGCATTTTAGGCCCAAATAAAGTCAAAGCGTTTTCAAAGCAGTCATTGTCTTCACACACTTCCAGACAACTGATCCAAACGTCTCACCACTCAATCCCATTGACAGCTGAACATCACCCGACGGATCAGCTATGCTTAACATACAGTCGCGTTCACTGAATCCGGTGAATATACTGAAGGGCGAGGCCGAGGAGGAGAAGGCAGAGACGGCACGTCTGTCCTCATTCATCGGCGCCATCGCCATCGGAGAGCTCGTGAAGTCCACGTTAGGGCCCAAAGGGATGGACAAGATATTGCTGTGTGAGGGCCGGAATGAGGGCCGAGTGGAGGTGACCAACGATGGGGCGACCATTTTGAGGGCTGTGGGCGTCGACAACCCGGCGGCCAAAGTGTTGGTCGACATCTCGAAGGTATGCCATTTCGCGAGGATAATGGGTGTCCAGCGAGTGGTCACTGATCCGTGGATTTAGTTTTTTGTGTGTGTAAATGTTATGATATGTCATGCCTTTGATTATCACTTACCCTACGAATCCATTGTCTAATTATCGCATAAACTAATCCATGACTTCAGTACTCGCCGATCGGCACCACCTACTCATACGACACGCCATTGATTACCCCATAAACTAAACATATATCTTATGCCTCACTCCAGACACAGGACGAAGAGGTGGGCGACGGGACGACATCCGTAGCCGTATTGGCGGCGGAACTGCTGAAAGAGGCGGAAACCCTCGTCTCTATGCGACTGCACCCGCAGACCATCGTCTCGGGATGGCGTAAGTCAGTGACGGCCGCGCGCGCAGCGCTCGAGTCGGTCGCCACCGACAACAGCGCCGACACCGAGCGCTTCCAGTCCGACCTCATGAACATCGCCCGCACGACCCTATCGTCGAAAATACTGTCCCAACACAAGGACTTCTTTGCCAAAATGGCTGTCGACGCAGTGATGCGGCTCAAGAAGTCGGGCAATTTAGACGCCATTCAGGTGATCAAGAAGTTGGGCTCAACGCTGAGCGACTCGTTCCTCAGCGAAGGCTTCCTATTGGATAAGAAGCCGGGAATGAATCAACCGAAGCGCGTGGAAAAGGCGCGGATACTGATCGCCAACACCCCGATGGACACCGACAAGATCAAGGTGTTCGGCGCGAAGGTTAAGGTGGACTCCATCGCCAAAGTGGCGGACATCGAGTTGGCCGAGAAGGAGAAGATGAAGGATAAGGTGGACCTCATTCTCAAGCACAACATCAATGTGTTCATCAATCGCCAGTTGATCTACAATTATCCGGAACAGCTGTTCGGTGACGCCGGTGTCATGGCTATAGAGCACGCGGACTTCGACGGCATCGAGCGCCTGGCGCTGGTCACCGGCGGTGAGATTGTCTCCACGTTTGGTAATCCAGAGAAAGTGAGTATTTGTCGGCCATTTAACGACACAATTGTCACGCAAATATCCCTAAACTAAACCCTTTCCCCCATTGAACTACAGGTGCGTTTGGGTCAATGCGATCTGATCGAGGAGGTGATGATAGGGGAGGACAAGCTGTTGAAGTTCTCGGGGGTGCCGGTGGGCGAGGCGTGCACTATAGTGCTGAGAGGGGCCACGCAGCAGATCCTGGACGAGGCCGAGCGCTCACTGCACGACGCCCTCTGCGTTCTGTCGCAGACCGTGAAGGAGCCCCGAATCGTGTTCGGCGGCGGGTCGGCCGAGATGTTGATGGCCGACGCCGTGGCTCGACTCGCGGCTCAAACCCCGGGGAAGGAGTCGTTTGCGATGGAGTCGTTCGCCAAAGCGTTGAGACAATTGCCGACAATTATCGCCGACAACGGCGGCTATGATTCGGCGCAACTGATGTCGGAGTTACGGGCACTGCACTCACAGGGAAGGCATACCATGGGTCTCGATATGTATAACGGGGCGACCGCTGACATGCAGGCGTTGGGTATTATTGAGGCGTTTATCGTGAAGCGACAGGTGCTGCTCAGCGCCGCCGAGGCCGCGGAGATGATACTTAGAGTGGATAACATCATTAGGGCGGCCCCCAGGAGGCGGGAGCCCGACCACAGAGGGCACTAGTGTG